TTGATCACACACATACTGTGCGCTATCATGGCCAAGGAATGCGCATTCTTTGCAAAAATCGGCAGCAGAGAGATAATTGCAGGCTTGTAGCTACACGGTAACGATTGAGAAGCTCTATATGCTGCCCACGATACAAAATCTTTGGGTTGAAGTTTCTCGTTTGCAACAAGTTCCTGAGTATTGCTGAGCCAGTCATTCTCATTATAGCCACGTTCATCAGGAAGGGAAACACGGGATGTTATTAACTGCTGTGGTACCTCGGGAGCATTTAAATCACCGGTGGGTAGTGCCATAGGTGTAACTTTACTGTAACTTGACGGAAGACGAGAAATGGTCTTGGAGGTTGAAGGTTTAGAAGGATCAAAGACGTCGGTGTCTCTTGGTGTTCCTAATTTGTCATTGCAAGGATGTTGTACAAGAGAAATTGCTCTACCATGAAACGAGCTCTGGGAGCTGGTGGAACTCGGGTTGTGATCGATGTTATCAACCACAGCAGTAGTGAATAGTTCCCCTCTAAGTTTAGAAGGACACACAACTCCTTCACGCTCATACCTCTCAATGACGCTATTTGTTATTTCGGTAGACACAGTGAGGAACCTGTCGTATGAAATACACATACCTAGGTTATAAAAGGTATCGATGAGAGACCTGTTTCTGGTGGCTCCATGAATTTTCAGAGCTGTATAAATGGGCAGCGGGCACTCTCTTGATCTTATATGGTGCGTGCTCCCAGTGGCCTCAGGTCTATCGCGAGGTCTTGAAATACTGTTAAATACAATAAGTTGTGCGATTGAAAGACAGGCCTGACTATCAGAAGGGTCGATAGTGGTGGTGGGACCTTTGATAATAATACCAACTAACGTTAGCAAGGAGACTGGAACAGCGTTTTTCTGACATTCAGATAAAAAGTTGCCGTTGAAGGAGTCTTTACTTTCAGGATCTGTCTTCTTACAATATGTGCTGCTCTCGCCAGATACCATGCATCTAAATCCATCTTTTTAACCTTTGAAAGCATCCCACTAATTTCATGCTGTGGTACAAGTTGAATTTCTCTGCCCTCGGCATGCGCCGTAAGGTCAGGAACTGCTGCTTGCACTCTCTCCCTAAGCCGTGTTGCATTCACCTTTCCACAATCAGCACCTAGCTGCTGTACTTTAGAGGTATAAAATCTCACCAAGTCTGAAAGAGTGAGTACTGCAGGCTCTTCTACTTGGAGACATTCGTCAATATAAACAAGCAGCTCTGCAAATGCAAGCTCATCCAGCTGGACTGATGTGTCGTCGGCAGGTTTTTAAGCCTTTTGTTTAAAAGGTCTGGCCTTATTATACAAGGCAACCAAGCACTTTGCATGGTACTTTGCCTCGATGGCAATTAAATCACCAACAGACAGTTTAGCAATAAGTTTTCTCTCATTCAGAACAGCGGCACACTCTCTGACCTTTTTGTCAACATCAAGGGTCAATGCAGAATGAAGATTGCCAGAACTATCGTATTCGTCACAGAAAAAACATTGCCTTTGGGGATTATAACGTTCTACACTAGATCTCCTAGCCTTCACAGGGCTAGAGGGAATTTCTTCTTCTGTTTCATCAATTATTTCCTCTGCTGCAGCTTCAGCTAATTTTCGTTTCTTTGCACGCCCTAGCTTGTGTTATTATACAGATCTCTACACGATTCATGCCAGGAAGCTTTGTTGTGGAGTAGCGTTTGTTCGAATGCTTCGTTTTCATCTAGCGGCAACTCAAAAGTGAAACATGTGTGTTTCAAAACTTTGAACATTTCCTAGCCGTCCCACACAGAACTAAAACGTTGAAACATCGATTTTTACGTCCTCTCAGCAATAGAAACCTCGGAAGCAATCTACTAACATTTTTAGTTTGAAGCTAACACTATTCAATTGTTATCGAAGTATTGGCAAAAATCCTAGAGGAAAATAATTATCGTGTCATAGGGCGGATTATGACAGGAATAAGAGTGACCTCAAAGCAAGCCCAAAACGGCAGACATCTCCAAAAAACGCTACGGACACACAAGGAATGTGTAAAATATTCACATTTCGGAATATTTAGTGTTGTAAATCGACAATATATGTTTCCCATACTATTCCTTATCGTTCGGGCCCCGGACCCGCAGTGGGAGGATATCACGCCCCCCAGTGAGACTGGACTTGTGATGGGACCACCCTACTAAGGACATTTTTGTTACGTTAGTGTTATGGGATATAGGAACATGTGCTTTTCGCTTAAAGTTAGCAGTCTTTTCGTTGGATTAAAAGGGGTGATTTAAACCGTTGTCGAAAGTTGAAGTTACTTAGTAGTCTCAACAAAACGCTTGTAAAGTTTTAACTGGTTCAAATTGTCAACGGTTCCTTTCGTAACCCAACGCGGCGTTACAGAACGCGTGACGCTTTCACGAATGAATACATACGTGTCCGAGTATAATTTTTTGTCTTTCTCGAGATGTGAGCTTAGGACACCTTTGCTTAAACTCTCTTATTGCAAGCGCAACAACAGCCTCGAGAGACTTCGCCCCAGCACCGCGGGGTTTTAAGATTGTTTGCAAAAACAGTGGGAAAAGAAAGGAATGAGGAAAACTGATATGAAGATCTTGGGAGTGAAAGTGTTGATGAAATGATCTGTGATTGTATGCACTCTTCCCTCCCCAAGGAAAAGAAAAGCACCAACTGAAAGGCTGCCTTTGCCGATTCTCTTGACTTCGAAGAAGCACTTGTTTATATCCGACACTTCTTCTGAAATCAACATCGCGTCTTCAGCTGTTGAAAGTTCAAATGAAATATTTCCCAGTACAAGTCGAGGCAACCAAACAAATGAACCCGATATCAGCGTTTAGGGTAACGTGGAAATGAATCAAGGAAAGAAAGTCGAGGATCTTCAGGCTAGACTTTTAGAATCTGAAAAAGAGCTTGCGATCCTTCGAAAGAAGGACGAGGGACTGGAAAGAAAGTTCCCGAAAAGAAACAGCACCAGGAGACAATGCCTTCCCCTTTATTTTCTCTTGATCGCTTCAAGTCCGATGCGGATGTTAATTTTATACTGGCCTTCCCAATTATGCCACTCATAAGTATTTTTGAATTTTTGAATCCTGGTGAGGATTGTGAAAACATACGCTCCAGGATCGGCTCAGACGTTGCTGAAGAGTTTGCTGAAGAATTTGTTCATCTCGGTAAAAAAAGGCATTCGTTTTATATCGCCAAAACAGCCATTCGAAGAGTAGTTTGGTTGCGGTTCATTAGCAGTACCTGAAATGTTGTCTTCACTCGCTGTTCTGCGTTCCTTGTGCTTTGTGTACAAATTGTGAGGATCAGGATGAGCTATATTTTGGTCTCGGCCAGTTCTGATATACTATTCGACCCTTTAAAAACGAAAAAAAGCTAGTTTTAGCTCGTAAAATCTGATTTTTCACATGTATTGGTGTGATATTTTGACAAGTCTTGCGAAACAGGAAGCGATCTTGCGCCTAACCTCTTCACTAGCGCTGCCTTTGCCGTTTTTCAACCCCTTCGATGAATCGTCTCTACATTTGAGCCAAAAACGAAGTTCCTCGCATTTTAATGCCTGAGGCTCTCTTCTAGCGAGAGAAGTTCCCGGGATATCATCCTGGGTTAGCACACTTGCAGCCATTCGTGACAACCAAAACAACAAGGAAAAGCCGTGGCCTAACTAGCCTCGACTTCAATATTTATTTATTTATTTAATGATTCGCCCACGGGCAGGTGATAATATAATAGGACTCTAGGTCCCCTATAAAATATTAACACCCAACTTCGACTTCGACTGTTAAAATATTAAAACCCGACCCGACTTCGCGCAGGTCCGCCCGAATGGTCCGCCATATTTGCATTCGGTGTATACCAAATTGATAAAAAATGAACTCCATGTTATGACAGTTTATGATTTAATCAAATTGTTACTTCGATGAAATAGTACATTACTTCGAAACTGGCACAGGCATACAGATTTAAAATTAACTTATTCATCAACAAGTCAGAACATATTCAAATATATTTATAATCCAAATGCATGAAACAGGGTAGGGATTTGCACGACTAACAACGAGTAAAAACATTCAAAGATAGCATTTCTTTAGACTATTGGTAACACTAAAGTTGAAGTTGATATCAAGCTGATGCTTGGAGCTGTTCTGAAAGATATAAAAAAGTTGTTCAAATCCGTGACTCGATATATGATTACATGACAAAAACGTCTCATAAATAAACTTATTATTTAGTTAAATTTTGTTCTGTAATGCCTACGAAGATCATTTGAAAAAACGCATTCTCCGCGTATCTTTTCATAAACGTTGTTTAAAACCACTAACTTTCCGTAAATAAAATGTCTTTGTCACAAGTCGGTCATCTGACTTCATTAGTTTAAATTCACAAAACTGAATGCCATGGAAAACCGAAAAAAGTTTTAAACTTTATATGCATGTAACTTCTTGATGTTATTACACCTAAATTTTCTTATCTACATAGCCTCACGGCAAGTTTTTTAACGACTTCACTGATCTGATTTAACACCGAGTAACATTGAATTTGTTGCTTCCTTATGTTGGTTTGGATACTCACAGGTAGATCCCACTCGTCTGGGATCTCGTCTTGTCGGTACAGAAATTCAAAAGAACTGACCTGCAAGAGAAATGGATGAGCCGAGAATTTGGAGATACATTAAAATCCTTAATCTATTTTTCAACAGCTCCTTGGGTAATAAATGTTTTACTAAAGAAAAAGTTTGTATTGTAGCATTAAAAGCATCCAGTGCAATACATCAATGCGTGACAAAAGTCTCTTTTTTGTTTTTGCTTGTGCACTATCTATCTCTGAAAGAACAAAAAGAATCTCAAAACCATAGATCTGAGTTTGACCTAAGGGCAATTCGAAAAACGCCTAAGTCCTAATTCAAGTGTTCTTAAACTAAGGAAGAATAAATAATCGGCATCTTAAAAAAAAAATTGCTAGATGAACTTACGATGGATAGCACCTAAATTTCTTTTAATTCCACATTTACGTCATCCCCAATGAGTTCAAAGGGTGCCCAGTACCTCGCTTGGGTAAACATTTCAGATTCTCTCATGCACCTCATGGCTTTATTGACAGCTTCACTGACACTCTTTCCTTCAGCCAGTGCGCCATAGAAATATTTCATAAACTCCAGAGTACCATCGTCGTCAATGGCCCACAGGGCTACCAGAACGGATCGAGCACCAGCGCCCAGAAATGCTCGCGCAATACCAACCACACCTTCGGCCGTAACCTCCCCACGACCGCTGTAACAGCAACTTAGCACAACCAGTCTTGCTCGCAGTCTAGCTTGTAAGACGTCTTTCATTGTCAGCAGATAGCCTTCCTCTTGAGCTTCACAGGTTGCCCTCTTTGTATATGGTGCCAGGAAAATTTCTCCTGTTTCCTTTTTACCATGTGCTGCAATGTGAACTAAGGAAACTGAGGAGATTTGCGTCAACACCTCATACTTTGTCGCCTCTTCCCCGACGAGAGGAGTAATGCAAAGTATTTCTCCAATCATCTTTACCTCTTTCCTAGCACCCGGTAGCTGATTCAACGGTTTACCCTGATATAGGGCTCCTTTGTAACATGGATCTCCCACAAGTAGCGTTCCGGTTCTACTGTGACATTCTGGTGGGCATTCAGTGATTAACTTCAAAGTAGTAAGGGATGGAACAACTCGAATCCTGAAAGAGTCACACAGATAGCTTGAATTTGCATCCATCAATGCAGCATAGGGCACTAAGCAAAACGGACCTTCAGGAACAATAATAAGCTCTTTTCCATCAACCAGATTTGCGATAGGAGCAATTATGATGTCATAAAGCTTCCTCAAGGCATTTGTAGTTGCGACTCGTGGAGAACCATCGTTTGCTTCTTTTTCATCTCGACACACCTCAGTAGGACTGTTTTTCCATTCAATAGCAGCCCTTGCACCAATTTGCGAGAGAGCTGCCCTATTCAAAGACATAATGTAAACTTCTAAATCGTCTTCATACAGAAAGTTGTTTACGTGGTATTTTTTCCATTGGACGACTTCCCCATTCAGAATAACCCACAAAGCAATGTAAGGTCCACTCATTGCTATAAAAACAACATGTGATGAAACTTTCTTCATCGAAAGGCAATCAGAGAACTTGTCAGAGCTCAGCCAAAAGTAAACTTCACCAGAGTCATACTTCAAATGGACAAGATCTCTCAGAGCTTGGGCACGTCCCTCCTCGGCTGCAAAAAGAGCTTTAACATGCTCACCCAGGCTCAATAGAACGCGCAAAATACCTTTGTATGCTGCTTTGTTAGCATCTCGGTATGATATCTTCCAATCGTCGTTAGGTTGAAGACTAGCCCGAATTTCATTGAAGACTTTAACACTCGAAACAAAGTAGTCGAGAGCGCTATGAAGACAGCTTAGATCCTCAAGGCTGCGAGCAAGACTGCACAGAGCTTGGGCAATCCCAGCCTTGTCTCCAACTTCTTTGGCTATTTCTAGATAACGATTATGGTACTCGATGGCTGCTTCGAACTGTCCTAGGCCCTGATAAGCATTGCCAAGATTGCAATAACTCAATCCTTCTCCAGCCTTGTTTCCTACCTCTTTGGCAATTTCAAGATGACGTTTATGATACTCCATGGCCGTTTTGAATTGTCCTAAGTCCTGATATGCGTTGCCAAGATTGCCATAACTCGCTCCTTCTCCAGCCTTATCTCCCACTTCTTTAGCAGTTTCCAGATGACGTGTATGGTACTCTATGGCTGTTTTAAGGTGTCCTAAGCGAATATAATCACTGCCGAGATTGCCATAGCTCGCTCCTTCTCCCGCCTTGTCTCCCACTTCTTTGGAAATTTCTAAATAACGTTTATGGTACTCGATGGCTGTTTTTAACTGCCCTAGAGAATGATAAGCATTGCCAAGATTGCAGTAACTCATTCCTTCTCCAACCTTGTCTCCTACTTCTTTGGCAACTTTTAGATGACAATTATGATACTCGATGGCTGTTTTGAACTGTCCTAGACAATGATAAGCCATGCCAAGATTGCCATTACTCATTCCTTCTGAAGCCTTGTCTCCCACTTCTTTGGCAATTTCTAGATGACGTTTATGGTACTCGACGGCTGTTTCGAACTGTCCCAGACTGTAATAAGCGTTGCCGAGATTGCAATAACTCTTTCCTTCTCCAGCCTTGTATCCCACTTCTTTAGAAATTTCTAAATGACGTTTATGGTACTCCATGGCTGTTTTGAACTCTCCTAGGCCCTGATGAGCATTGCCCAGATTGCAATAACTCTTTCCTTCTCCAGCCTTGTCTCCCACTTCTCTGGCAATTTCTGAATGACGTTTATGGTACTCCATGGCTGTTTTGAGTTGTCCTAGACCATCATAATCATTGCCAAGATTGCAATAACTCTTTCCTTCTCCAACCTTGTCTCCCACTTTTTTGGCAATTTCTAAACCTCGTTTATGGTACTCGATGGCTGTTCTGAACTGCCCTAGGTCCTGATAAACGTTGCCAATATTGAAATAACTGTCTCCCTCACTAACTTTATCTCCCACTTCTTTGGCAATTTCTGAATGACGTTTATGGTACTCCAGGGCTGTTTTGAATTGTCCTAGACCATAATAATAATTGCCAAGATTGCAATAGCTCTTTCCTTCTCCAGCCTTGTCTCCCACTTCTTTAGCAATTTCTAGATGACGTTTATGGTACTCGACAGCTGTTTTGAACTGTCCTAGGCCCTGATAAGCGTTGCCAAGATTGCAATAACTGTTTCTTTCTCTAGCCTCCTCTCTCACTTCTCTGGAGATTTCTAGATGACGTGTATGATACTCGATGGCTGTTTTAAACTGTCCTAAGCCCTGATAAGCGTTGCCAAGATCGCCATAACTCGCTCCTTCTCCAGCCTTATCTCCCACTTCTTTAGCAATTTCTAGATGACGTTTATGGTACTTGATGGCCGTTTTGAACTGTCCTAGGCCTTGATAAATGTTGCCAAGATTACCATAGCTCTTTCCTTCTCCAGCTTTGTTTCCCACTTCCTTGGCAATATCTAAATGACATTTATGGTACTCCATGGCTGTTTTAAACTGTCCTAGGCCCTGACAAGCGTTGCCAAGACCGCAATAGCTTTTTCCTTCTCCTACCATGTCTCCCGCTTCATTGGCAATTTTTAGATGACGTTTATGGTACTCGATGGCTGTTTTGAACTGTCCTAGACTATGAAAAACAGAGCCAAGATTGCAATAACTCGCTCTTTCGCCAGCCTTGTCTCCCACTTCTGTGACAATTTCTAGATGACGTTTATGGTACTCCATGGCTGTTTTGAACTGTCCTAGGCTTTGATAAACGTTGCCAAGATTTCCATAGCTCTTTCCTTCTCCAGCCTTGTCTCCCATTTTTCTGGAAATTTCCATAAGACATTTATATCGTCGGATGTCTCTTTTATGTTCAAGATCAATATGTTTCTCTTTCCAGTCTGAGTCATTCTGGTGAAATTATGTTTGAAAAATTTTATTTAAACACTGATAGGTTTTGCATAAAGTCTTAGATTTTTGAGGCTGATCAATAAGATCTACAAGCACATAGTTCCTTGGAATTTTTTACTGGTTTGCAATTTTGGCAAAGCTCCCATATGCGTCAAAGTGACTAGTTGCCAAAAAAGTGGGGTGACTTAGAGGCAGACTTTTGTTCCAGAGCTTAGAATATATCGATTTATCGCATTTTCATCTCGTAATATATAAAATTTCTAGTGTTTTGATTGGTTCACTCAACCACTCAACCAACCAAATGTTTAGTATTTAATGAAATTTATCTAAAAAAATATTCCTCTCGCTCTTATTCAATACGATATCGGTTATGGCCAAATCAGTGCTACGCACGTTGTTGGCTATTTACTATCTTATCTCGAACGCACGCTTCAAGGACTAATTGTTAATTATAACCTCGAGATCGTAACTATATTTCCACGCCTTCTGCGTTCAGGCTAAACACTTTTTGATGTTTTGTACGACAGCAATGCTATGTGGAACCGCTTAGAGATATGTTTTGTTAATGGAGGTGACTTAGAAAAAATCAAAATGTCATTTCTTGAGCGAAAAGTTGCAGTGTGGACGCCTCAGGAGAGAGAGAACCGTTTATTCCTAAAGATGAATGTAACTTCAGAGGAATCGGCCCGTCCTAGCCAACTCGTCTGTCCCAAAATTTTCCTTGACAGGTGGATGATACTCTCTCTGTGAGGCGCAAAGCATATTCAGCATATAGGGGAATTTTTACACGAGTGAGAACTGATTCCTATGTACTTAGTTTGCCTTTGAAGCCAAGAATGCATATCGATACCAAAAGTAACAATACTAGTCTAGTGAGTATTTAAGAGGCTGTCTCTCTTATTTCCACACGGCCAATTTCGCGTAAAAAATAATTTTGCCTGAAACTTTGTCGACTGAAAAACTTAGTCAGGAAGGAACTAAATTGGATTTGGTTTGATTCGAAATAGTTTTACAGGTGCTGTTTCAAGCGCTCATAACTTTTGAAAAGTCGAAAACGTACAGTGGTTTTTGCCTTCGTTTGCCTATAGAGGTCTAAACTTAATAGCGGTGTAGGAAAGAGTTGTCAATCAGGTCCCTAATCCCAAAAATTAACGTCTAAATCAAGCCTATTTAAGGCCATCGCCCGATGCCGATTTATAGGGGTCAGAATATGTTAAAATTCGCCTTTTCAAATATATTGAGAGGGAAATTTCCTGCCATCCTACGTAGAGTTCCGTAACGATACTTGTAAAACGATTTTCCGCACAATGCGCTATTTTTTATTGAAAGAGTAAAGGAGACAAGTGCTTCGTAACTATGTAGTGATTTTCTCAAAGTATATATAAAGAATCAAAACTTAGAATGTTTTGAGATTTCAACAAGGATCTCAACCACTTAAAGATTATCTTCAATGCACCAAAAATTCTGCTATGGACGCAGACATTTGGAAAACGATTCAGTTACCTGGCCGAACACTAAAAAAGGCAATGGGTAGTTCTTAATCAGCTCTTGCTCTAGCCACCAGCAAAAAATCATAATTTTTGTCAACAGAACGTTATTTTGTAGCTCCTAGTAGTTATAAAAGATCGATTAGGGATGAAATAAAGAGGAATGAGACTCTTTGCGACGGAGGTAAGTGGCCAGGATGCTGAGCAAAATTCGGTAAGTTTTGATTTTATGTATACACCATGAACAGGAAGGGTTAAAAACGACTTCGGGAGCTCACTTCATCTGTTCGTTTTCCACCCGATAGACGCGAAATCATTCGCCATCCGATACTGGAGAATATTGACCCCTGCGTTATTATTAATAAACCGATGTAATTGATTGACATCGGTCCTTGAACTCGAGATGCACATTTCAACCTCGGCAGAATTTTCGGTTTTCTAACAACTTTTTAAAATAAACATTCATGAAGTGGTTGTCAAGTTTACCTTTACTTGCTGTGGCTTCATCTCTTCGCTTGCGATTGTCTCACCTGCACACTTTTTTAATAGACGACGCAATTTTTTGCTATTACCGTCAATCTTCATAGCGTTAAGTAAAATCTGTGAAATTGCTGAAAGAAGGGATCGAATGCTTAAGGTGAGTGCATAATTTAGTTTTTAGCAGAAGGACAATAGGCCAATTTCGAACTACCTTTGGCCTCTTTTTCAAAACGAGGCCTAGTGCTTAGTCATTCTTGCAAATATGAGTTTAATTTCCATGTGAATGAAAACTTAGAGCCAATCCGCACTAGCGAAAAAAATTTAGTTAGACAAATTTTCTGTCATCACCAACACTTTACAAGTGCGGATGGTTTTTCGTGACTACCAATTTTGGTCGAAGCGGACAAACAACCTCGTTCCCACGGTCTCTCATCTTCCCGCCTCCTGGAGCGAGCGAGGAGAGACCCTGGTTTAGGCTGGTCACGTGTCTTCCAGATTTTAGCAGGTTTCAAATTAGCGGTTTGAGGGAGGGGCAGATAAGTGGGAATTTCTCTCCACTTAGTCCACTGGCGAGCGTAGCTTATTGGTAATCAAAACAAACTACACGTGAAGCGCTTCGAACCTAATGTCAACTGAGAATATTCAGCAGACGCCCAAAAAGATCAGTAAATCTTCCATTACGGTAAATATCAATTGTTGCGGGCTTTCTAAATTAGTTGGAGACATATCTTGCTCGAAGAACATCTATGCAAAAGGAAATCGCGCATCGCTCACCGCCGCCGAGGACATTTATGGCCGGCAGTTGAGAAAATAAAAATTTTATTCCACATCTATTATGTAGGCCTTGAAAAGACGCTTGAAAAATTTCATTTCTTTCAAAACGGTGATCAGTGGAAGTCAGAGTTAAATCGAAACGGTGAAGCGATGTACAGAAATATCACAATCTGTGCCACGCACCCTGGCTATGATGTAAGGGAATCTGAGAGAAGCCGTCGCGGTCTAAATTTCGTAAGAGCACCAACGAAAATGCAGTCTTTGGCTGGAAAAGGGGTAAACAATTGTATCTTCGATAGTGCGACAAACTTCTTTCAGAATGAGCTACCTTCGATTGACTCAGCCGCTGTCAGATGTGTTTGCGAAGATGTTGTCCATGACTAGGAAAATTCGTACAGACTTTTTTTTGTGCTCGTCTAACCGATCTCTCTTTTTCTAGTGCCTATTTCCTTCAGAAGAGGAAAAATATATGCACGTGATTGCGCGTAACTGTTCGCTTTCCTTTGTTTACATAATTTGACGTGCCAGTGTTCACTTTAGTCACAAAAAAACTTACGGCTGCCGGTGGTCGTTCTTATTTGATCTTTAATAAAGGCATTCAAAGGCGAAACAACAATAACAACTGGACGAAATGACAAGGAAGGTACAGGTCTTTGACTGTTTAACTTCTTGAAGAAGAGTGAAGAAAGAAGATGAAAAATCAAAGATTTACCATATCCTATAGGTAAAACGGCCGTAACATCTCTGCCCGAATATATCGCTTCTGAACACTGGACTTTTTTGGGTTTTAAATTAAAGTTATAATATCAACTCCAAGATATAGCCGACTTGAAGGCTGCTATAAAACATGGCTACCTGAACAACGATAGCATCGATTTGAAGATGAAAAAGGATATGAGGCAAAAATCGAGCAAACAAACGATTCGTCCCTAAGGAATTCTTTTGCTCTATAAACACGTGACCAGCCTAAACCAGGGTCTCTCCTTGCTCGCTCCAGGGGGCGGGAAGATGAGAGACTCTGGGAACGAGGTTGGCGGACAAATTTTCAAACGCACCGCCGACAAAATTTTGTCGGTGGGTAAAACCTTGGCAAAATCGACTAAATAAATAAAACTGTGATAAACTTGTCAATCATTTGCCGTAAACGCTAACGCCAGTGTTGCAATTGAACTGAGTTCAGTTTACCAAAAGATTGCAGTAATTGTCTTTCGTTGCGAAACGCGCGTATTTTACAAATTCAGACAAATTAAGATGAATCCTGGTAACTAGAGTTTAAATCCATGTGAAAATTAAAGCCGCCACTTTCATGAGCAGGTTTGGCGCCGGAACGTCCCACCTTATGGTGGAGTGATTATCCAGTCGCCACTTTACCAGTCCATCAATGAAGCGCTAGATGTGGCACAGGATCCAAAACTGCCCACTCGAAGCAAAGGGAAAGGAAAAGCTTCATTGAATAAATTACAATGAAATATAGTATCGGTGTTAATTTTTAGCTGTTGACCGAGTTTTACAGCTTTGACAACTTCGAAACTCTTAGTGCGGATGCAACAGAGGAGACAAAAATTTGTCTTGACAAAATTTGTCCTTTGATTTTTTCGGGGCAATTTTAGTTTTGTCTGCTAGTGCGTATAGGCCCTTATTGTCATATGCATATGAAAAGATGAGAACCAGGACTCGCTTTGAAAAAGAGGCTAGAAGTAATTTGGAAACGGGCCATTAGAGACTGAAATACGGCTTGCCATGCGGAGTGCCTTTTTGGGAATATGATGAAACCTCTCCTATAAACAAGTTGCCAATCTTGATAACTGGGCTTAGAATTGATCTCTTGTGCAGTTTGATTAGGTCACATATTTCTTAGGCTGTCTAACTGTTTGCTTTTCCAGAGTATCTTTCCCTAAGGGCCTGTTCGCACTACGCGAACTTCCGTTTGTTTTGCAAACAAATCTGTCAACGTGAAACCATTTTTAGTGCGAACGATTTTTTTGACCCACCAAAATTTACGTAGTAAGAGCCACCAAACTTCAAAGATACCGTCAACTAGTTTTGGTGGCCTAAAAGTTTTTGTCGGGCGAGAAAATCTATTGTCCCTTGACAGATACCCTTCAACTGATCATCATAATTCGTTATTATGCCATATTATTACATGGCTGTGTCTCTCAAGGACTGGGAACTACCGAATTTACGAAT